ATTATTGCTATAGGCAACCATATTACCTGGCATAGGCCTGTTTGTTTGTGGTTTTGCTGGAATTCATGGATCTGACTAAAATTCCAATTTCTGAGGCCTGAGAATATTTCTAGAAGCAAAGAGGGAAAATACTGTCAGACAGTCCCTGCTGTGGTTGAGATATGGAACACCTGGAAACCAAAGCGTTTCTGAACACCGTAGATGATGACCCACCCAGTTCACCTTGAATGTTACCACAATGCTCTGTGGGAACCAGTGAGCTAAGGAAGTCTTGGTCGACCGTAAACATCTGATCTCTCTCCTTCCTGCTTACACCCGCTTCCTTACTTTTAATTTCTCTCTTTTCCTTTCTCTCTTCTTAAAAATCTCCTAACAATGTAATGAACAGGCTGTACTCACAAGGAATTTGATATATTCATCAGCATGAACTTGTCTCCACAAGTCTGTGCTTCATTTTTTACCTCCTTTTAGCTTAACCATGGGTCATTCACAAATGACCGAATCAAAACCCTGCTATAGAGGGCCTTTTTTTTTTTTTTTTTGTCTAAGTGTTTTATTTCATCTATTTTATAGAAATTACTAGATGACTGACCAACTCCTGATTGTCACAGCTGTTCCCTGGTGACGGAAATAAAAACAATGTTGTTTCTGGAGTAAACTTGCTTCTTCTTCTTCTTCTTTTTTTTTTTTTTTTAAGGAAATAGCAGTCACTTAGGCCACTTGATGAGTTTGAAGACAAATTAGTGTTTCCTATTTGTGCAGAAAACTCTGCCCATTCTTTTCTCCTTGGATGGTTCATGAATACTCTTTTTCTCATTTCTTCCTAGTTTCTTCACCTTGTAATTAAAATTTGCCTTCATCTTTTGACAAACGGCATTCGTTCATCCACTTCCTTCTCACGAAACATTTCCTCATTTCTCTTTCACAGCGTTGGCGTCTGTGGCTCATGGATTCCCATGTAACTGAGCTGCTTTGCTTGCTTCAAAGTAAGGACTTGAGCATCATTATTGTTATGTTACCCTGTCCCTAAAGGGAAGAAATTATTTACTAATATTTAGAAAGTCTGTCTGAAAGGTCTTTCTTATTTTCTACACTGATTAGTTACAAAGACCTGATACTAAAAATATGTAACTTGATGTTCATGCATGCCCCTTTAATTTTACAGTCGTCTTATTCTTCCTTTAGTAGCTAACAAAACTGTTCATAGCACCATGACAGCAGTCCCCACATGTCGCTTCAGAGGTGCAAAAGATTTCCTGTCACTATCTTGACTATAGAATTCTCTATTTCCAAAGTTTTAACAAAATTAGCATCCTTCTTTCAGGAAAGGCCTTAAGATGTTGCCTTAAAAAAAAAAAAATTCTTATCAGCGTAATGCTTTGGCCTTTTTGAGTCTTAGATTTAATCTATTTAATTTTCCTTATTGTTCAATTTTGAAGCTATTATACTTTACATGTATTCATTTAATAATAAGAAAATAGTACAAAATGGTGAAAAATCTTATCAAAATGTAAATGAAGCTACTTAGTACTTAATTTCAATGTCTTAAATTAAAATTTCAAGGAGAAAACCCAAAATACTTGTGCAAAATCATAATCCTGGCTTTTTCTGAGTGTTTTAAGAGAAAGTTTTATCATGGATTTCTACTTCTGTGGTTCCAATTTTTTTAAAGTTACCTCACATCTCACTTTTCCTCCCATTTTGACTTGGACTCCATTGAAGTGAACTTGCATTTTGTTCTTAAATCCACATATACAGACTAAGCTAGACCACCTTGAGGAAAACTGTTATATGCTTCTAAATTAATTACTGTAGCAATGGCCATTTTAAAAATTATTTGAGATTTCATTTTATATATTAACTCAAAAACAAAAGCTTTAGTATCTCCTCTTAATACTCAGGTTACTTGAACTCTATGATTCTGAATGTGCACAAACCTGACCATTCAAATCTCTAGGCCCAACTGTGCCTGACCAAGTTAAGATACTTAATAAAATAAATGTGTGTGGATAGTCTTATAAACTGTACTGAAATGCTTTTGATCTAAACTCTTCAAAGGTCATGTATATTAGTTAAATGTTTCTTTCAACTGTCCAGTTGTGGTAAGGTTAGCAGAAAAAAAAAACAAAAACAATAAATTCCATTTTTATTAGTGAATGTTTCAAGAGTTTATTATAATTAACCATCAAAGACAACGGATTGGGAATAATAAGCAAAATGGTTTCTTTTGTATGGGTAGCCTTTACATGCTCATTGCCTTCTTTCTTCATAGAAAACGAGCAGGTTGTTTGATGGGCCGGAATCAAACCGACCTTCTTTCCCATAGTCTGGCAAACTTTTGGATATCTTGTAGGTCTTCCTGAATGTTAGTTTTGACTTCCTGCCCGCAGCTGTCCAATGGCCTCTTTAATCTACAAGAATACTTTCTCTCAGCTTGCTTTGCACAAAAGCAAAAGTACTGGCTCATCTAAAAATTGTTGTTGTTGTTTTTTTTTTTAATTCATAAAACTAACAAACATACAGCAATAAGGCCTTTGGGGAAGAGATCATAATAAAGCCCTGGTTACTTGCCGCTGTAAGGGTAGTGCAGTGGCCAACATTCAGCTGTTAAAACAACAGCCTGTCAAAAGGATACACTGTGCTCTGAAACTCTGAAACATTGTTTCAAATGATGTTCTTTAGTTCTTGAAAAAACTTCTAGGTTCCTAAATAGCAAAACAAATTTATCAGTACCTGGTACTTCGATATTTGTAACAATAGAGCAAGCCACATTGTTGATAGGAAGATACTTAAATACTGTTATAACTCCCTAAAACTACTCTTTTAAAACGCCCTTTGAGGTCAGATACAGTCTTTGAGTGAGTCTGCAAAAATTTGTCAAGTTTAATGGAAGTTTCAAAGCTGTTTTCAGGCACGGAAGCAAAAAATTTAAGTTCGTATTTGCTCACTTTCAGAATGTTATTCAGTTTTTCTAACAATATAAAATGCATTGGTTTTATGACTGTGGCCGAGGAAGTCTACAGCATGAATTTAATGATCATGGGTCTATACATTGCCACAGTTTATCAAAGGCACACATGTTCATTAAATGAAATATTTAATCCTGCACCTTCACCAAAGAAAATAAAAAGAAATTGACCTATAGTAAGAAAATCCAAATTTTAGCATGAGAAAACATTATGGTTTAACTTTTTTTGTGAGAGCTGGAAATGAACCCATTTGGGGGGGCCTAACACATGAATATATTTAGACAGAAGAGACATATACTCCAACTACTGACACATGGGCAAGAGAGTAATGTGAGGGAAAAACAACCACTGTGAATTTCTCAGCTTTTATGAAGATAAACTCACTACCACTTACTATTCTTTTTTAAAACTGCATTTCAAAAGTCCATGTTCACACATTAATCTTTCCATTTTTGATACTAAAGTTTGATCAGAGTTATCAATTCAAATTCTATTTGAGTGGTAACACTCAGTGGTCATAAAATATATAATAAACACAGTGTTTGGGTGTTGTTAAAATTAACATATAGATGGTTCTGCCCTGTAAAATAAGTATCTTGAAATTTTTCAACTGTCATTTTATGGGGGTTCAGAGTTTAAAAAGAAACAGAGAAATGGGAAGAAAAAAGAGCATAATTAATGGGCATTTGTTTCCTAAAGCCCTAAGGAGACCTCTAAGCCTTTCCTGCTGCTGTGTTCTCACCTAGAGAAGGACTGCACGTGCTTTTCAAAGCTCGCTGAGCCTCGCTATTCAACTTGTTGGAGGTGAAAACATTCCCTTCGCATCCTGTTACTGTGAAGAGCCTTACTGTGCACACGTCGGTGTACCGTGGCACATTGACTTTATTCATTAATAACAACCTTCCCCCCACAAACAGGCACCTAAATTAGGGCAAACAAGAGTATTTCGTGTTGAATCTGGCGTTACGTATTATCGCTCCGGAAGAGTAAAACACATTTCTTGTTCCATGGCCCTTCCCTCATCCTTCAAGAATTGGAAATTTCTTCTTCTTCCTTTTTTTTTTTTTTTAGTTTTCAAACTCTCTTGATTAAAAAAAAAAAGTGTCTAATGTATCTTACTTCGCGGTTTTCTTTACAAAGAACTATTCTTGTTCTCCTAAACCACCTTCGGAGTAAAAAAAAAGGGGGGGGGGGAGTTAAACTTTACACAGGATTTCTCTTTGAAGTTATGGGTACCTGAAAAAGTAATTCATTTCTACTAAAGATCCTGCCGTTCCTAACCGAACTTTACTAAGATAACTATCTCGTCATATATATTTATGAAGACTCTGTTGATTGAGTAATTAGAGCCGCGGACGTAATGAGTTTGGGAGCACAGAATGTATATCACTGAGTGCTTTTGAAAGGTATTTATTTGCAGCAGCATATAAAAATTTTAATAATCCTGTCAAATACGTTCATGAATAATTTATTAACCTCCCAATTGTTAAGGACGGCGCGCGCACCCCCCGCTCTTTATGCCGGTGTCTCGGTGCACACAACGCAGGGATCTACTGCCTTATTCCTGGCGTGACAAAGACAAGGGAAAATTGGTAAATTTCGCTGTCCACGGCTTCACAAAAGGGCAGCGCTGCGGGTTAGGCTGGCACGCACTCAGCCCCCCGCCGTCCCGAAGCCCAGCTTCTCGCCGCCGCACTGGCGGGCGGAGGGATCCCCGCGCCTTTCGGCACCGGGCCCGGTGGGGACCGAGCGGGTACGGTCCCAGGTGAGCGCCAAGCGCATCCTATGGGCGACTGCGGCCGCCGAGGCCGAGGCCAGCGGCACCCAGAGAGTAGGAAAGGCCGGGGCGCTCGGCGCAAGGCCCGCAGGGCGGCCGAGGCCGAGAGGCCCAGCCGCCGCCCGAGCTTTGCCCGAACCCTCCCGAACCTCCCCGAGCCGCGGCCCGAACCTCCCCGAACCGTCCCGAGCCGTCGCCGAACCTCCCCGAGCCGCCCGGCCGCGGGCGCGCGCCCGCCGCCGATCAGCTGGGCGCGCGTCGGGGAGTCACGTGGTGCGCATGTCGAAGGTCACGGCGCGCTCACAATGGAGCTCTCGGAGTATGTGCAGAGAGGCGTCCAGACGCTGGCGGATCCCGGCTCCTTTGACTCCAACGCCTTCGCGCTTCTCCTCCGGGCGGCTTTCCAGAGCCTGCTGGACGCCCGGGCGGACGAGGCCGCGCTAGGTAAGCGGCTCGCTCGCCGCCGTGGCCTGGGCGGAGGGGCGCCCGGCAGAGCCGC